TGTGTGTGTGTGTGTGTGTGTGTGTGTGTGTGTGTGTGTGTGTGTGTGTGTGTGTGTGTGTTGCTGGAGATCAAACTCAAGACGTTGTGTATACTACGCAAGCATTTTACCACTGAGCCAAAGCCTAAGTCCAAGATGAGGGAGTTTCACACATAAGAGAAAAGCTATGTTTCACTAAGCTGCAAAAGCTCGACCTCAACACGACCCTGGAAGAGATTAGAGATGATAAAATGTCTACTGTGGTCCAATATTTAAAGGGCAGAAGTTCTTATGCTGGTAAGTAGACATAAATACCTCAAGAAGCATCTGGTCTCACTCTCTAGGCCCAAGACCATCTGGGTCTCTATGTCTTCAACTCAGGTGACAAAAGATTATTTACTAGCAGCAAGAAAATGTCCCCAAAGTCTTTGTAATTCCATGCAGGAGGGCACATCTCTGTGATTCCACTGGTAAAGAATATGTTACTGATGCCTGGTGAAAAGTTTCACTACTCTGTCACATAGACAAAGACAAACTACCTAACTCATTTGCCTTTCAAACACCGTCATTTTCAATTGGTGTCATGGGGCCTGGTCTAATACCTTACATGGTATATAAGAACCAGAAATGTTCACCTCTGCAAAATATATGCAATACAGTACCCAATATAAAGCTATTTTAATGATCTTACTTTGAGTTACATATTTACTCACATACAGCTATGAGTATAGAAATCAGCATCTCCGTATGATTTGAAACATGAAAGTCAAGGCACAAATTCCTCACTAGACCAATGTGAGCGAGATCAGTAGCACAATAGCTTCGGCTCACGCTGAAGAGCAACACCTAAGATGTTCAGCATGAAGCTTGTCTAAGGCCTTACAAAAAGGTAGTTGGAAAGGGAAGTTGGGGACATAAAGACAGAAATCCCAAGAGGGATAGAACCCAACCATCTCCCAGAGTGCTTTAAGTTAAAACATTAGAAATGATGATAGCTTGTCAGACTGTAGCCATGACCTTTGTCCATGAGTGGAGAGGAGACAGCTTTGCAGGCTGCTTCTTTTCTGAGAGTATCTATAAGAGATACAGCAGAAGACATGACGTCCAAAAACTGACGGTGAGACTAACTAAGGGTCGCTACTGCGGCCTGTGGAGAACAGGCCGGCTGGTCAGCCATCTGCACAGATGGGGCTAATGCAGATCTCCACATGGCAACCTGTACCCAAGAGCAAAGAACAAACAGTTCCTTCTCTCCAAGCAAGCAAAATCTGACAGCCACAGTATCAACATGGCCAGAGCCTCCCACAGCTAGATCTTCTCCAGCTGCCCACTTGGCAGGAGGGCCCTAGGAAAAAAATGGGAGGTGGGGAGGGCAGACAGAGATGACCAAATTGGGATCAAATCCTGACTTCTCTGTTTGTTAGCTGAGTGGCATTGAGTAAATAATCTCTCTTAATCTTCATCTCACTATGTGCAAAATGAAAGTAACAGTCTCTCTTGCAGGGGTGCTAATGATGATGAGAAAAGTATGGACATGTTCAGTACAGACTTTTCCCAAAAATACTTTTGATGCATGTTTAGTCAGATCTTAGCCACGGGAAACCACAGACACTAAGTGATAGTGATGGCTGTATATTTTTATACCACTTTGTTTGACAAGAACTCCAAAGCTTAGACAAAAAGGGCATCTGAAAGTTCATGGCTCCAAATACTGGGTTTTGTACTTAGAAAAATAAAAGGTACTATGAGCTCCAGATTTCTCCATTAAGTTGTCATTTTAAGGCTGGATCAATAGATGGCAGCATTACAGAAACAGAGGCAGCTGTGTGGCAAGCCCCACAAGAAAGCCAGGCACAAAGAACTAAGGAAGGACAGTGGTATTGGGTGGGGCCATCTCTCACTGAACACTTACTCTATGTCTAACTCTTTGCCAAGTAGTTTACCATGAGATGACCTAACAGAGAGTCAAGAGCTGGCGTCTTTTAAAGGACAGAAACATGAGCCTGAGTTATCTTTCTCCAGCTGTCAAGCCACGACCTAGCAGGGGACTCGTGTGCAAAGTCAGCAGTCATGTGTGTTACCATCCCACCTCCCTGATCTCCAAAGGAGATCTGAGGAGATGATCGGTGCCCGCTCTACTCTGTTCTCTGCATATTCTCTCCTGGTGCTTGTTCAGCTATTCTAGCTCTTCTTGCCTGGCAAGCAGTCTAAGTTCATGACTTTCGTGAATCCCAGTGTCTGACCGCTCTATTTCCAGAAGAGAATGTCCTGTGCCAAATCTCTGTAGCCATATCCCTCCTTTTCTCACAATCCCCAGCATTCATCAGGTGTCTGGCTGGGCTCCTGGTTCTTAAAGCGTTGTCTGTGGGCAGCAGCGGCACTGAAAACCCTTAGAAGAGCAAGTTGCAGGCCCCATCTTAGACTTACTGAGTCTGTATCTTAACAGGTTCCCAAAGGGACATGTGAACAAACAGAGCATAGATGGACCATCCAGCATGCCATGTGCTAAGGGCCTTCAATGTGTCTGATCACAGCTAGAGTAAAGTGGCATGAGTTCCACCATATGCAGAAAATGACGGACTAATCGGAGGGCCCACATTAGAAGGTTAATAGGTTTGTTTTGTTTCATTTTTGAGACAGGATCTCACTATGTAGCCCTTGCTAGCCTGGAACTCACTATTAACCAGGCTAACCTGAAACTCATAGAGATCCACTTGCCTCTGTCTCCCTAGTGTTGGGATTAATGGTGTGCTCTACCACACCCAACTATAGAGGACTACAGAGGTTCCTATTTTTAAGGCTTAGTCACACTATTGGGAAAGGGTCAACTCTGCCTTTTCATCTAATTTCTACCCATCCATGGCTCTGAATAATGAGACAGCAAGTCTATTCATGGTGACCTGGGCAACCAGTGGATGCTTCAAGGCTGTTGCCTGAACTTCAATAGAAAGGAGATCAGCGAAGGCAAAGTACTGAAACCCAACTGTTCTGGGACCCACATGCAGGAGAGGACCATTCTGGAGCAATGCTGGGACCTTGTGTCCAACCAGAAGAAAAGAGCAAAACTATCCCATCAAGAAGCAAAGAAATAGAAGCATAATGGGGACCCCGGATCCATCAAGCACAAGGAAGCAAGAATTAACTGTATAGGTCAGGTTGGAGACAGAAGGAGCGGACCAGAGGCCACAGTATCCCTAGGCTAAAGCAATGCCCACTCACTGGAACTTCCTATAGCCCAGGAACACCTCTGCCCCACACCCTTCCCTAGCCCATGACAACTTACTTGCAATTCATCCTTTCTTACCTAAGAATCCTATGAAATAATAGGCGTTATTTGGCTTTCCTCCTAAAGCCCCTAAAGACTGTGGCATCTTAAAACACTCCTAAAGGGGAAAGAGAATGCAAGATTCTCAACTCACTTGTGGACTGCTGCTCACGGATCTCTGTGCTGACATGGCGGTGTGATGGGCAGGCAGCAATGGGTTCAAGAAAAAGGGAGACTTACTTTGAATGCTTCAATATACACAGGATTGATTTGGTTTATGCCCAGGCGAAGGGGCACGATGAGCAGCAGGGGTTTCCAAGCTGGGCACGGGGCAGAGGGGCCTTGACTCTGATGGGAAGCGGTCAGAGAATCAGGAGGGCTCTCATCAACTGTGTCAGCACCCACGGGAAGGACACAGCACATTTTCTCTAGAAACAGAGGGCAAGAGATCTGGATGAGGCAGGAGTGTGTAGGAATAGGAGCTTTTTCAAAGGTAAAACAGAGGGACCTTGCATGCTGCCCTTCCTGCCTGGAAGGCCCTCTCCTTTGCCACCACGGACCAGCCAGCCCCACTTCCCACAGGAATGGCAGGCTATTCCTTCCTTCAGCTTCTTGCTCTTCATATTGGCCATTGCGCACTTTCTTAGTGTCCATCAGATATTCTAGACTCTTTCCAAGAATCTCATTTCTAAATTAGTCTTTGAGGGCTTTGGATTCAGGGACTATGTCTTCGGGTTTTCCTAACCTTCAGGGCAGAAAAAGTAAGCCTGGGCAATGGCAAGCCTCTATGATCCATCTACTTGTGATTCAACAGATCATACACACTTTTGCTCCTGTAGCAAAAGGTGTGGCGCATCTTTGAGAAAACGTTTTCCCCTTCAGAAGACTGCAAATGAAGGGAACAGAGCCGCTCTGCTGTCCTAGGCTCCCCTGTCCTTGTAGAGCAGGCCACAGTAGTTCTTGAACTCCAGATTTCTGAATTTGAAAAGGGACTACACCCACCAATGAGAAGGCTAGCAGCCTATAGACTCACTGATATCTTCAATGACCACTGTGTTGTCCATTGAAACATAAACAGCCAAGGAATTCCATTCGTCAAATAAAGCGAGTTTTCTGTGAAGCAACATACAATGAAATCACAACTGGAGAAGATGAAAATATCAGCTGGAAATGGTACAATATACTCCCAGCATTCCTAATGTCGCCACACGCTGAGCCACAGAAAAGCCTGCGTTTGGGTTAGCTCTGGCTTGACAGAGTTCTGGGAAATTCCATGCCCAGGGATTTGGAGAATACCACAGAATCACTGTATCTGAACTTCTAAAAGAAGGTCCTGCTTTATAAAGTGGAAATATCTACCTCATCAAATGACAGTATTCCTATTGGAGGAAAAAGAAATGGCATCTATGTATCTGTCCCAAAAAGTCCAACATATTTTGTTTCCTTAAATAGAAGACATTCTCAATTATTGATTTTCCTTTTAAAAAAAAGAAAAAAATTATAATATCATTAAAAGATATATTGGGGACTGGTGTGGTTCAGTGGCAGAGTTCTTGACTAGCATGACTTGACTAGCATGTATGAGGCCCTGCATCCATCCATCCAATCCCTAGCACCTAATGTGTGTGTGTGTGTGTGTGTGTGTGTGTGTGTGTGTGTGTGTGTGTGTGTAAGTGAGTGATGGATGTGTGTGCATGTCTATACACATGTGCAGAGACCTAAGGATGATGTCAGGATCTTTCCTCAGTTGCCTCTCCATCCTATTTTTTTATTCAAGGTCTCTCACTTAACCTGAAGCTCATCATTTCAGCTACATAGTGAGCCCCTGAGACCCTTCGGTGTCTGTCCCCAGTGCCGTGGTTATAGACACATGTTCCTTGCTCTTTATTTCATTGCACAGTTTCTGGTGATCCAAACTTAAGTTCTCATGCTTGCTTGCACAGTAAGAACCTTATCCATGGAGCTACATCCTCGGTCCTCATTATACTCTTAATTTACTAATTTTAATTTCATTACCTTTCTCAGAACAGCAATTATGTGATTATATGGTCATTGGGTTCACTTAGTTTTTTTTTTTTTAACTTTAGGATGGTGTAGAAATGACATGTATTCAGTAGAAACCAGATTTTGAATTCTGGATTGGAATCATTCCTAGGGCTAGTCACACACAGTGTAAGACTCTCTGGTGATGCTGAGCAGGGAGCTAGAGCTCCAATCAGCCAGCTGATCGTCAGAGGAAACAGCTCATTTGTTAAGCTATACTGTTCAATAGTTTAGATATAGTAAATACATTTTGATTTCCAATATTTTCAAATTATGCTATCTGAAGCCGGGCGGTGGTGGCGCACGCCTTTAATCCCAGCACTCGGGAGGCAGAGCCAGGCGGATCTCTGTGAGTTCGAGGCCAGCCTGGGCTACCAAGTGAGCTCCAGGAAAGGCGCAAAGCTACACAGAGAAACCCTGTCTCGGAAAACAAAAAAAAACAACAAAAAAAAAAAATTATGCTATCTGTCGTTTACTGTGTTAAGGAGCATATGTGCTATTGTTATCAGAGGCAATCACAACAAATCTGAACATACTTTAATGCTTATGAGAATGGAGATGGATGGGAATGTATAAGGACACATGAGACATAAAAGAGGAAAAGAATCGTGGGGGTCAGGCTATCAGGGGAAGACAAGAATAACCACGGGTGGAAGAAAAAGCATAAAACACTTTGATTGCAAATGTCATAATCATATCTATCACAATATGCTGATTTTAAAAATAAGTAAAAAATAATGACCTTCCATTTGTTCTTTGTTAAAAACATCAAGATACAAAACATGGAAGTAAGAAAGAAATTGCATTTGAAACCAGATTTGGGACTCAATTTAGTGACTCTAATAGTTTATACATTCTTCTCTGGATGTGGCCCTATTGCACTTCCCGAATGCTGCCACTTCCTCACTCAGCAGAGGCAATGACGCCCAGAAGGTACTCTGACTAAGGCAAGAAAGTGGATTCAGTGAAGTTGCACTGGTAGCGGGGGAATAAAGCCAAGATACAAGTTTTCCTGGGTCCCCAGGAAATCCAGACTACTCACCTCATATGCACAGCTCCAAGCATGCTATTCATTGAAGACTGGTTAACCGTTGAAACAAAGCCCCTTCTCTACTTTATATGGAGCCATAATAGCGAGGAATTGAAATACACTATACCAAAGGAGGCTGAATGATCTCCATTTGCTGATCCCTACATCCAGCCCCAGGTTCTGGCTGCCAATTTCCTTTATTTATTGAGCACTTACTGGGTGCTTACATGTAGTAGGCAGTTTTCTGGGCTACTGTTACAGAATGAACAAGACAAATACAGTCTGCCTGCATGAAGTTTTCCTCCATTGGCAGATTGTCAGGAAGGAGAGAACTACAAGAGATGCCCTACAGATGTAGGTACTGATGACACTCACCCCATTTACACCTTGAGCCCTCTACCTCATCTCTTGTAGCAGAAGACAACTTGTGGACTATAAAGTGACTATTATGAAAGTATCACCTTAAACCTGCTAACAGATGACAAACTAATCCCAAGACTCCCTTGGAATTTGTTTCCTCCAATAGGTAGTGAGTTCCTTGAGGCAAGGACTGTGTCTTATCTCTGTGTACCCAGTACTTAACATAGTAAAGGCACCCAGTAAATGCTAAAAGAATTAGTGATGTTTTAAGAAAACATATTTTATTTAGGGGGAGGTACATGCTATGGTGTATGTGTGGAGGACAGAGGACAACTTGTATGGGTTGGTTCTCTCCTTCCATCACGGGGTTCCCAGGGATCAAACTCGGATCATCAGGATTGGCAGCAAGCACCTTTACCCACTGAGTCATCTTTCTGGCCCATTAATGAGGTCTTTATTACTATACAGGATAGCAGTCTATTTCTTGCCTAAGCCAGTTAAGCCTCTGCCACTTAGTATGAACCTATTAACTTCAAAAGACCCTCGGGCCGATGGTTCCCTGGCACATGAACAGCCATCTGTAGGGTGAGAAACAGAATGAGTCCTGGAGTACAGCCACATCTATTAATACCAGTGACTACAGCTCTGATATACCAAGACAGAGGTCTACACTTATCCACATCAAAGAAGTAGCTGAACAAAATGGGAGAGATGGCTGACGGCTTAGCGGGAAGATGGGATTGCAAGCATACACTTAAGCTGATGGGATTGCAAGCATACACTTAAGTTGGCTGCGGGGAGCGGGGGGAGGAAGCATAAGAGCAAGCAGAACAAGCAGATGCCAGACTTTTACTTACTTTAACACCTGTGCGACTGTATTTGGTCCAAACCATTCACCAATTGATTTCCCTTCTCCTACACCCATTTGTGCTGTTTTATATGGAAAAATTAACATGTTAGCAAAATACCTTTTGTGAGCCACAGACTCCTGATTTTTTTTTCACATGAAAAAAGAAGACCAACAACTTAGTAAAGTCACATATAAGGCAGGAAAGGAAAAAGCTCACAGGCATTACTCTGAAACTACAAATTTGATGATCTTACCCATCTGATGGATTGAATAGCAACAGTCCTTTCGATCTAGGAAACACTGCAGAATCCTTTGGTATTCTTTGGGTTGTTCTTTTTGTTTCTCCCAGTTCCAATCTTTTGCGGGGAGGGAAATAAAAAAGGGTTAAAATCAGCCATAACTGTTTATTAGCAGGCAACAAATTAGAACAAGAGAGCTACATCCAGAAGGTGGGAATGGTGAAGCTGGCACATTTCTAAGCATCTTTCCTTTCGATAGGAGACGCTGCGAAACTGACTTCTAAGGGTCTGGTGGGTAGAAAGTAAAAGCCAGGGCTGGGGAATGTAATCACTCGGCTAGCATGTGTGGCAAAGCTAAAAGCTGAGGATGAAGTTCACCAGAGAAGTGACTTGCCCCAAGGGCTGGAGCTGGCCAACAATCACAACAACAACAGCGTCACCAAGGTATTTCCTGGCAGCCACACTTCAAGGATATAACCCAGACGCCATAGTGTCTCATCCCTACACAAACAGCAATGGCTTTTGTCCTTACATTCTGGCAGCATGGCCAAAGGGTCTCATGAGGGGAAGTGCAATTCTGACACAAAAAAGTTTATGTGGAAATACTCTACACAATTCACTGCTAAGGAAGTGTTTTTGAAAATTGTATACTCAGAAGGGAAAGAAAAAAAATACTGTAATATCAGCATTCAGGAGGTTGAGGCAGGAAAATTTCAATTTCATGGCCAGCCTGGACTATATTGTGAGTTCAAGATTAGCCCATGCTATATACAACAAGACCTCTCTTTCAACAAAACAAACAAACAAACAAACAAAAACCAACCAGCCAATCAAACAAAAAACAGGAGGGAGATGATTCGATTGGTAAAGTGCTTGCCAACATGAGGACCAGAGTTTGGAAATCCAGCACCCACGTCAAAAGCTCAGTGCAGTGGTAGTAGTATGCGCCTATAATCCAGAATTGGGAAGACAGAGACCCTGGGGAGACAGGACACCCTGGGGGCTGGGTGGCCAGCCACTCTGGCCAAATCAGCAAGTCCAGGTTCAGTGAGAGAGCCTGTCTCACAAAACAAGGTGGAAAGGGACTTAGGAAGATATGTTAACCTCTGGTCTCCATAAGTGTGTGTGTGCGCACGCGCGCGCGCGCGCACACACACACACACACACACACACACACACCTGCATACATGCAAATAGCCACTCATGGTGACATATGCCAGCAATATAAATGCTCTGGGATAGGGGACAGAGATAGGAGGATAATGAATGAATTTGATGCCAACTTGGGTCACAGGATCAGTTCTAGGATCATGAGGGCTACATAGAAACAACATATCTCAAAAAAAAATACATGCTAACAACTTTTTTTGCACCAACCTTTTTCCAGTACTGGCTATGGAAGCCAGGGCCTTGTACACAACAAGCACTCTTCCACTCAACTGTGACCCTGGCCCCATTTTTATAACACTTTTTTGTTTTTGTTTTGGATGCAGATTTCATCATATAGCCCTGGATGGTCTGGAACTCACTATGTAGACTAGGCTGGCCTCAAATTTGTAGTGATCTTCCTGCCATAGCCTCCTAAGTGCTAAGATTATATATATTTTATGCCACTGCCCCTAACTTTCAACAGCATCTTAAGAAAAATTCACAAGCTTAAGAAAAAAAAATCTGATAGGTGTTCACAGTTTCCTTAAGATCAAAATACATATCACCATGATTCTAATGATCCCATGTGCCTTAAAAAAACAGAGCCCCCAAATGTGACAGGGCCCACATAGAACCTACTGAAGAGAACTGCAAAATGCTACAGAATCACCTCTCAGCTCTAGGAACTCTGTCTAAAGGGACAGGTTTGGGGATTTGGGCAGGGGATGGGAAGAGTAAGTTTGCATCCAAGACCTAAATTTCTCTCTGGAGGGTCTCAAAAGAGTCTGAATTAACAACTTTGGAAATGTAACTAAGACTACAAGCCATCATCTCTGGTTCCCTCAGTTCCCCTGTGCTCCTAGTTTCTCTGAAACTAAGTCTTAAGTTTCAGCTCTATCATATCCAATAGGGCAAACCACAGCCAACTTATTTCAATAGTTATTGAACTATCTGGTTCTGGGGAAATCTTGATTAACTGGCTGCTAAGGACAACCAAGTATTTTCTGATGACTGCCACATGAATACCTCATCTTAATTTTAAAGTGATTGAATAAGAAAGAATCCAAAAGACTTTTGCAAAATGACCTCTTCTAATTTATTTTAACTACAAGATCTATCCAAATCCTTCCTGCTACTTGCTTTTATGCTGAAACAACTGTGACTGATGCCTCTGGGGATTTTCCAGTATGCCCCAACTTCAAGAATTCACTTTCAGAAAAATCACCTTCAAGTTTTTAAATAATGAATTAAAAGGAGTAGCAAGATAACTCAGCAGGTAACAGTGTGTATTGCCAAGTCCAGTGACCTGAGTTTGGTCTCTGTGGTGATATTATGTTCCCCAAAATATATCATGCACCATAATAAACTTATCTGGGGTCAGAGAACAGAACAGTCACTAGACAGACATAGGGGCCAGAAAATGGTGGCACTCACGCCTTTAATCCTAGCCTTTTGGAGGCAGAGATCCACCCAGATCTCTGCAAGTTCAAAGCCACACTGGAAACAGCCAGGCATGGTGGCACACGCCTTTAATACTAGGAAGTGATGGCAGAAAGCAGAAAGTTACATAAGGTGTGAGGACCAGGAACTAGAGCTGGTTAACCTTTCAGGCTTTTGAGCAGCAGTTCTGCTGAGACCCATTCAGATGAGGACACAGAGGCTTCCAGTCTGAGGAAACAGGATCAGCTGAGAAGTTGGCCAGGTGGGGTTAGCTGTGGCTTGTTCTGCTTCTCTGATCTTCCAGCATTCGCCCCAATATCTGGCCCTGGGTTTGTTTTTATTAATAAGACCTTCTAACAATTGGTGCTACAGGTATCCAGGCCCCTCATGGTTGAAAGAGAGAACAGATCTCCACTGTGATACAGAGTGTACACACTCACATGCATTCACACACACACACACACAGAGAGAGAGAGAGAGAGAGAGAGAGAGAGAGAGAGAGAGAGAGAGAGAGAATAAAGAAGTAATAAAAAATAACTAGTAAGGATGTAACTGGGAAACTAAAAGCAAGTCAATCTCACAATGACAAGTATTGCATGCTTTCTCTCATACGTGGAATCTAGAGAGAAAACAATTAAGGCATGAAAATGAAACAGGGATTACGGAGGGAGGGTGAAAGAGGACAAAGGAGGTGGGGAGGAGGGATAAGGAATGGTAACAGAGTGTCTGGAGAGACGGCTCAGTGGTTAACAGCACTGTGCTGCTTTTGCAAAGGACCCAAGTTTAGGACCCAGAACACATGTCAGGTAGCTCACACCCATCTCTAACTCTAGCTCAGGGGATTCAATGCTCACTTCCAGCTCCTGCAGGCACTACACTCATGTGCACATATGCATGTACACACAAACATACATACAAATATAATATTAAAAACTAAAAAATGTCGGGCGGTGGTGGTGCACGCCTTTAATCCCAGCACTCGGGAGGCAGAGGCGGGCGGATCTCTGTGAGTTCGAAGCCAGCCTGGTCTCCAAAGCGAGTTCCAGGAAAGGCGCAAAGCTACACAGAGAAACCCTGTCTCGAAAAACCAAAAAAAACAAAAACAGAAACAAAAAAAAACTAAAAAATAAAATCTTTTCAAAAAGGAATGGTAATAGAGAAAGTGACTATGGTCAAAATATAAACAATGTATGGAATGTCACAATAAAACCTCCTACTTTGTACAATTGATATATGCTAATAAATGTGGATTTATCCCTTAAAAAATAATAAGTCTAGATTAAGAAGTATGTATAGAGTACTTGCTGGGCACAGAATCAGAGTATAAGAATTATAATCTCACATCTAGACTGCTTGACCCTGGACAAATTATCTCACTGCCATGAACCTCAGTTTTCTCACCAATGAACTAGAAATGATGATAGTGCACAGAGAAAGCAAGCAGAATAGCCAAAATTCTGGCAGGAATGCAAGAAGCTCCAAAACCTTCTCTAGCACTTTCCAGATCCTCTCCAAAAACTGGCACAGGACCTGTGAGTCTGCACTGTGAGATTAACAAGAGCCAGGAATTTCAGAAGCTTGATAACATGGGAAATTGAACTTTTACTTGAATGTCTGAACTGGTGTCTCTCCAAGATCATTCTACAGAGGTCCATGAAGAAGCATGCATATGTCCCAGAGAAAATAAGAACAAGAATTACTAGAAGGTTCTTAAATAATGAAGCCGCCCTCTGCGGAAGCTAATTTAAGGATTTCTTCATTACCAAATGGACATACTCATTGAACAAAACCCAAAATAGTACTAGCTTCCTCACTGAGCACTTCCTTTAGGTCACTTATATCCTGAGCTAGATGGGTATTTTAAAATAGTTAAGAAACAGACTCATCACCACACCCTTCTTCCTGTTTTCTTTGTCAGCTTTTCAGTTTGTTTTGTGTATTTCTTTTGTTTTATTTATTGAAACAGGGTCTTGCTCCATAGTCCAGGCTGGTTGGAAACTTAGTATGCAGGCAAGACTCGCCTCAAACTCACAGCAGTTCTCTTACCTCAGCCTCCTGAGGGATGGGATTGTAGGTGTATGCCACGGCCGGCTGAAGCTTTTTGTTTTGTTTGTTTTGTGTTTTGAGACAGGGTCTCTCTAGGAAGTTTTGGTTGTCATGTAGTTCTCTAATAGACCAGGCTGGCCTCAATGTCACAGAGCTCTGCCCACCTCTGCCTCCTGAGCACAGGATTACCATCATGCCCAGTTTAGAGCCACAGCTTTTTTATCTGACATTATCTGATATTTTTAACGACCCATTCCAACAGTAGTCAAAATGGAAATTCTAAATGGTACATCTGCCCCAGGTTAGTTCTGTGCCCGGAAAATAACTCTCGTTTGGTGAGTCATAAGGAAGTATCAGCTCTTTCCTTCTCATGATGGGCTTGGTTGACTTTTTAGCCCACCACTTGAGCTGCTAGAAAGCAATTTGGGATCTGCAGTTTTGTTACTGAATGTTCTTAAACCAGAGCAACAAGTGATATGGCAGATGTCTCTGAAACCATCTGTAGAACAAATGGAACTCACCCCTTCCCAAGTGTCTACAGATAAGGGCCTGAGCCAGCATCATCTGTCCACAGCGCAGCATACATCCCCAGCCGGCATCAGATGAAGGGCCTGTTCCCCCTGTTGGCAAAATGGATGGGCATGAAAATGTGTTCCCTAAATTAATCTTTTCTCAATCATATTTGAAACTACAAACACATATACATGTACATGAACTCTGAAAAGAGAGACAATAAATACACTTAGAGCTCATACAGGGTTTGAATATAGAAGTGAAACTTGTAAAGGCAATGCCAAATCAATAGAAACAGATTCTACAGTCGAAGACAAAGCAAACAAATGAACTAAACATGCCCCTTGGGTTTCTTGCTTGAAGACTTCAGACCATGCATGCTCTTTTGGTAAGTAACCATCATGGATAACTAGCAACAAGGAGATTACCTTGACTAAAGCACAAATACTACCACCAAGGATAGACATCAAAATGATCAAAGACATATGAAAGGCTCTTGACTATTCTAAATGTAGTTAGTGAAGTTCAAAACAACAACAAATAGGTGAAAGAACCCTATATTAGGCAGAAGACTGATATCTAGTTATACAAGCTAAGCCTCATCTATACGTTGAGGATAATAGCACATACTCTGCCTACTATCAGTGGGCATTATAAGAATTAAATGAGAAAATATTTAACAGTTCTAGACCTCACATAGGATACTTGGTATTTTGAATATGGTCTTACATAAAATGCTACTAATAAGTTAGAAATATATTATATCTTTAAAATATACAAAGCCAGTTAATAAATGAGACCATGGGTCCCATTTTAAGAAGATTTGATGTAAAGTTAAAGTCACACATGTGGCCAGGATGAGTTCTACTAGGGTCCTATTCAAAAGGACCAACATAATCAGATACGTTGATTTTGCTTTCCAACTCAGAAGTATGATCTCAGAATACTAGTTTCAAAAAAGTGATCACTCTTGACAAACAAGTGGGCCAAGTTATCCGCCCTCATCCCAACTGCTTTGTTGTAGGGACTGAAGCAGTATTGCTATGTCAACACTAAGGGGAGTGAACGGATTTTGGAGCTGGAAGGAGAGCCCTTAGGCTCTTGCTAATGCTGGGATTAAGGTTAGATCAGTGCAGAAAAGGTAGGGTGAGGGCCACATAAAGACAAATCAGCTCTTTACAAACACTGTCAGAGTTGACTAAAAAGTTGCCCAGCTTTGTAAAGGTCTCTTCCCCCAGTGAGCATTAACCGTTTAGGACCCCAGGACACTAAAGATTATTCTTTTGTGTTACTACTGCTTGTAAAGCAAAGAAAATGTTTGTGTGGACTTCAGGTTGGGCCCATCACAGAAAGGTTAAATTCACTCCAATTACTAGGTCCAACCTTGGTCAGACGAGGTTATTTTTTAGGAGAGTAACTTCCACCACTTTTAGACTCTTTCCCCATATTTCCATGACACTAGGGGATGACTATACTGCTCACATTTTACAAATCCTCTCAGATGGAGCAAACTCACTTATCGAATTGTCCTTTTCTTTTCCCCTAAATGGCAGCTAGGGACAGACTAGGATAAATTCTAAGGAAATCTCTCTTAATTTATCTCTGAATGTTGAAATGTTCTCATTTTATGAGAAAATAATAGAAGAAATTCTTTTCTTTCCTTCAAGGCCCACGCTTCTTTAATAGTCAAATAGTACCATATAGCAGTGAAAGGTAATTTAATAGCTAGATATTACCCAATTAAAGCTGATTTGTTTTTTTTAATACCATCTGTCGCATGAACACTTGAAGGTGGGTCAAAATGACTAACGGTTTAACACTACAACGCCATGGAACCACATGTGATGGGCTACTTCCATAATGACAGTTTTGGATAAAATGGTAAACTTACCTGCTCCCCTAAATCAAATTCTTTGCCACAGTGATCTGTTAATTCTGAGGTTTCTGTGATGTCATTGATAACCTCAGGCAAGCTATCTACAAGGAAGAGAGCACAGCACAACAAATGATATACCTACCAATCGGTGAAAATTTCCTTCTGTATGTAAACCATAGACGAGCACTTATATCAGACAACAGCTTAGATTTTTCTGTAATTAAATGTGAAATTAAAATTAAATCACCATATCCCATCTTTAAAAAAATGCCTACATTTGACTTCTATGCCAGCAGCAAGCTTATTTTCAGATAGCCAATCAAACGAATGTTATAGAACAAGGGAAATTCACAGGCAACCTAATCTCATTTGAGTCCAATAATTTCAATATTTCTTTTTACCTTCATTTTCACCAGTGCTACTCTCCAGGTTCTTCTAATGATATTAGATGCTTCCTGCCTCCTTCTCAATGATTTTCAAGACCCCAACAGGTATTACCACTGAGGTCATGCCCAAATGACAAGAAATAGGAAAAGCAAGTATCTTAGATAATCCACTAAGGCAGTCACCTCCAGCCTGAATGACAATAGTATCAGTGCCCATAGTCTATTATCTAAAACCAGGAGTTCATATGTTTGGAGGAGGTTCATGTGCAGAAACAGGGGTACAAATGCATACATTTAACTAAAAAGGAAATGCTCCTGCAAACTGTATAAGAACTTTATCCATAGTACCTAGGGTCCTATTTTCATATAAGTGAATGTATAATAACACAAATATCTTGCATACCTTTTCAAAGCATATTTCTTGCATTCTATGATGCAAATTTCCTTCAATCACTACAATTATGGCTTCTTCATTTCCTCCCATACTTGGATATGGTTCTGTCTTCTCTAGTCATTGCTCCCCTCTTAATATCAACATGCAATGTGTATTCAGGATAGCATCGATATTCATTGTATTTTCAAAATATCATCTCTTTGAGTAAATAAAAAAATTAGAGCTGTATGTATTTTTTTTTTCATTTTGTTGTCCCCAGTGCCTAGCCCCCATTTTGGGAGATGGATAATGTTTAAAAGTAAGAGTTCTTCGGCCTTGAAAAATGGCTGAGTGGTTATGAGCACTGTCTGCTCTTCCAGGGGACCTGGGTTCAATTTCCAGCACCCACATAGTGGCTAACAGCCATCTGTAGCTCCATTCAAGGGCATCTAATGCCATCTTCTGGCCTCCTAGTGCACAGACCTGAATATAGGCAAAATACCCATACACATAAACTAAATAAAATTGAAAAAGAAAATGAGTTCTCTTCTTGTCTTTTAAAGCACCACTTTCAACAGGATCTAATGTACTCTAAAATGGCTTCAGAATTGCTGAGGATGATGTTAAATTTCTGATTCTTCTATCTCTATCTTTCCAGTGCTGAGCTAACAGGCATGGCCACCAGTCCCAGTATATGGGGTGTTGGGGGATTGAATCCAATACTTGGTGCATGTTAGGTATTCTACCAACTGAGCTACAGACCCAGCCCAAGAGTATGGTGACACATTCTTATAATCCTCGTACTCGGAGCCTAAGGCAAGAGAATTGCAAAATCAAGGCCAGCCTGGGCTACAGACTGAAACCTTGTAGCAGGGGTGGGACTTAACTTGAGTCTGCTACCTACTATATATATAAATTTATTACTCAAATTTTCTGAGTGTCTGTCCTCTCATATGTAAAATGAGGAGTAGCAATACCTGTTTCATTGAGATGTGAGTATCCAACAAGATAATTCGAATAAAGTCAAAATATATACATACACACATTTATAAAGCACTTAGTTGATAATCTAGTATGCAGTAAGTTTATGCCAAACGTTGCTATTATTATATGCCTGACCCTTTAAACATTCACACATGCTTGCCTCTTCAGGCGCTATACGTCCTTCTAGCTTGGCTCTATGCTAGGGAGGAATTTGACAAACAAAAAATTCATTTTGAAAGGCATTTCCCAGCCAGGCATAGTGTCAAATGCCTGTAATCCCAGCACTTGAGAGGCTGAGGTAGGAGGATTGCTGTGAATTTGAGGTCAGCTTAGTCTACATAGTGAGTTCTAGAGTTCTAGGTAAGCTTGAACTATAGGGTAAAACCTTTTCTCGGG